GTTAAGAAAGCCGAACACGAGTCATTCAAGAAACAATAAAAATCGTTTTGATAACCCTAATCATGTAGGCATAAGATGTTAAGGATTGAGGCAAGATTTAAAACATCATTTGAATCTAATTTAATAATTTTTATTCTATTTTTTTAATTAATACTTTTAATTGATTATAAATCTTTGCAACCTTGTAGTCAATTAAATTTTTTTTAAAATATTACTCATCAAATATATATATATAATTGATTAGTAGTATTTCGAGCCAAAACGAGTCGAACACGAATGAACAAATATTTGTTCGTGTTCAGCTCTTTAACTTAGCGAACGAGCCGAACACAAGCTTCTTAACGAGCCGAACACGAGCTGTTCGCGAACAACGAATCGTTTTGACAGCCCTCATTATGATTATGATATACGAATAGCGGTGGTTTATATTTAAAATTCTGAGAACATATAAGATTTATCGACTGTAATTTTTTAATTAACTTTTTTTTTATAAAAAAAGTAAAAAATATACAAAACAAGTCATTTTTTATAAATAAAATTAAATTAAAAAAATAAATTTAATTCTACACCGGCCGTAGAAATTAATAGGACAAGCTTTTGTTCAGGACCAACACATTATAGTATTAATAGCTAAATTATCATTTAATTTGAAATAAAATTATTATTGTATTAACAATGCATGCCATTTATAACATATATGATGAATATGTTGTTATAAAGTAGGGAGAAGCTCAAAATTGATCGACACATGATGCAATTAACTCATGGTCTTGCATTTGATATGGAAACATATATTGGGTAGATTTTAAATGTATTTAATTTGAAGATGTGGGATTGTAGGTATGATATAAAAAACATCATGAATAGTGGAGTTTAGGTAAAACCAAGTGAATAAGAAGGCGCATAATTAAATTTTATGGAATGCTAAGAGAAGTTGTTAAATAAGATTATATTAATAGTATTTTAAATTAGATGAAGGGGAGTTTTAAATATATTAGTATAATTAAGAAAAAAAAAAAGAGTTTTCACAGCACTGTATATAGGCAAATACAACAGTAAAAGCTCCTGCTATTTCT